GACAGCCTGGCCTGCAAGAGAGGCCATTGTGCCAGCCGGTGCTGCGGCTCTGCTGGTGCCCCTCGGTGATGTTGCCCCCCGGGACGCGGCGTGGAGGTTTCTTGGGCAACGCTGCTACAACACAAACGCTCCACAGCCTGTGGATGGGGACCGGGGCCGCGAGAGATGAGCTCTCCGTGCCCCGGCGGCACCGCAGCCTGAAACCGGGATGGCTTCGAGGCCCTGCCGGCTGGTTCGAGGTCGCTCCAATCCCAAGGAGACAGGTCAAACCCAGCCCAACGCCTGAGCAATTCCCCAGGCATCAAATCCTCCTTGAAAGAAAGTATCCAACCCTCGAGGGCCACAGAGCCTGCAAGAGCCTCTTGCAGGGCGAGCAAGTGGCCTCCAGCATTTGCCGAAGCAACAAGACGGCAAAAGCCTCCGGATGGGGCGGATGGCTCCAAACCCCCATGGGATTTGGCAGCGGCCGTGTTGCCCCTCCATGGGAACGAGGGAATTTGGGCTTCCACCCGCTTGCCCCAGAGGAGCTGGCACCAGCCCTTCTAGCCTGCTGCGGCCGAGGCGACTCACGAAACGCATCCCTGCTCCACTCCAGGGGGGATGGCACCGGGACGTATCCGTGGGAGGCAGCAGCTGCCCGGGGACACCCACAGCTCCTCCACGAGCTTTTTCCTCCCTTGGCGACTCTCATCCCTCCCTGCTGGCTCTTTCTGCACCCCGGATGGGGCAGCAGTTCAGGGCACGGGAGAGACCGGCCTTGGTGGCATCGCGGGGTAATGAAGAGGGCACAAAGTTGCACCCCGTGGTGGGAGCAGTGACGGGGCTCCCCTTCCTCTGCCGGCACCTGAGTGTCACAGCCCGGAATCACCCGGGATTGAGCGATGTCCCCCAGTCCCCATGAGGCCCCCATGGGCCTGGGTCTGGCTTCTGCCGCTGATCCTTGCACGCCTCAACACGGCGACCAGACACGTACAGAGGTGGGTGCCAACTCGCATGCCCGGAGCAGGTGCCCGCGCTTTCCAGATGGCCTCTTGCCACATTTCCTCTCTCCCTGCTTTTTTGGGGGCTGCATTCTTGCCTTTGAGGCCGCAGGCAGAAGCGAAGCTCAAAACGGGAAGAGTGACTGACCCGGGCACCACTTCCCCACGCGGAGCTCTGCCCAGAGCAGTTAGGGTTATAAATTAGCTCCGATCCCAGGGGCACTGAGAGGGACACGGCACCTCGGGGCGAGGGGGAACACAAATGCTCCCCTGAGGGGCTGTGGGGCACCTGCAAAAGCCACCAGTGACACCCACGTCCTCCCCACGCTGGGGGTGGCCCAGGAGCCGCGGGAAACACCGGGTGCTACTTACGGCCGTGGGGCGAGCGGCGGCCGGGGGTGCCAGGGGCTCGGGGTGGCACCGCAGGGCACAGAGGACTCCGGCCGGGCGCTGTGTGCCCGCGAGGCCCCGGGGCAGGTGAGGCGCCTGCCCGCCCGCTCGAGGGGAGGAGTTGGTGCCTTTAACTCCTTTCTGCCCTCGCCGCCGCCCTGCTCCGGACTGGGGACGTTGCCGGGAGCAGACGGTGACCTGGAGGGACTTGCGTGGCAGAGCCAGCACCTGGGCTTTGCCCTCCAGCATTTCCCAGTGTAAACCTCTTCCCAGGATGCAAAATGCCTCGGTTTGTGCCACAATGGATGGGATGCACGGGTGACTCTGCCAAGAGTGCACAAGTGCATGCAGGAACCCTGAAGCCGCATTATTTTGGTGGCAGTGCTCAAGCTGAGCAAAGCCTGGGAACTCTCGGCTCTTTTCCTCTTTTTTTTTAAGAAAAAGAAAGAGAATTGAAAGTGTTCGCTGGGGATGCAAACGGCTGCCGTGCAGCTGGACGGGATGCTGGGCCGGCGTGCGGTGCCAGAGGCCATTGACCCCTATGGAGGCCGCGGGTGAGTGGGGACACCGAGGCAGGGCCCGGGGCAGCCCGGTGCTCCCC